TGTCTCAGGGTGCTGGCGGCCACCTCATTGCTGGTCCAGACGCAGACAAGATAACCTCGGACAGCAGCTTGCTACTGGGGTTCTGACCATCACAGATGCATGTTAAATATTTTAAGGAAAAGAGGCTCATAAATTCTGGGGGGAAACTCTACAATATGAAGAGTTAATTCTAGAACTCCTGGAGGCGGCATGGGCACAAAACAGGTGGCAGCCACGCACTGCTGTGGTCATCAAGAAAGAACGCTATCGCCATCGGGGAAATGGGATGGAGGCAGTGAAGCCACGTGAGCAGCCTCAGAGGCCTCACTGCGAGCCGCTACTGCTGCACCTTCCTGCCCTTCTAACTGCCCCTTATCTGGACAACCCTGCACTGTTCCCAACAGGAACAAGATGGCCAGAAAAGGAGCCAGGGCCATTCAGGGACGGAGGCTAGAAAGAGCTTCTAGATGGGTGGTTGGGATGGCCCCAGCTGGGCACAGCCTCCATCAAGAGGTAGAGAACAAGATCACGTGGGAAACAGGGCTTTGGAGAAGCTACTTCTTGGCACTGCGGAGTCTCTAGGTTCTCAGCACTTGCAAGAGCTGACTTCCCGCAATCTGAAGTATGAGCTGAAAATCACCCATACCAAGGACCTCAAGTCCCCCCCCCCACCTGACTCCCCATTTGATAATATTCTAGTGGATTTTACTGAGGTGCTGCAGGTTCGAGGAAACAGTCTCTTGGTCTTAGCTGTGCCGGTGCTCAGGATGGCCCAAACCTGCCCTGGCCAGACTGAAATGCCACACCAAGTGGCCAAAGCTCCTTTAAAAGAAATCCCTCCAAGATATGGAATTCCTTCCCCATGGGTTCCAATAATGGCCCTGCGCCCATGACAGGCAGTACCTGCTAGTAGCTCGAGAGCTCGGGGTTGTGAAAACTGCACACGGCTCTCAGGACCCACACTTGAGGAATGGTGGAAGGAGTGAATCGAACACTCAAAAACCAGTCAGTAAAGCTTTGCCAGGAGACTGAGCTGCAGCGGGACCAGTGTTGGCCGTGGCCTTCCTCAGAATCCAGTCTATCCCCAAAAGTGACAGGGTTTTCCCTTTTGAAATCCTCCATGGGCGGCCATCCCTCTAATTCAAGACCTACAGGGTGATCTTAGGCAAACTAGCAATGCCAACATCACCCTGCAGACAAGCTGTGGGTATTACTCTCCATCAACTAGCACAGTGGGACAGGGGCAACTGCACTCCGTCTCACAAGCCCTGCACATCCCTATAAGCCTGGAGAGCGGGTCTGGGTTGAGGAACGGACGTGGCAACTTCGTGATCCCACTCGTGTGGCTCGCTGTCGTCGTCACCCTACACTGAGGGAGGTGGCTGAAGTCACCGCACCCGACCTGGCTGTGACATCCCCACCTGTGACATGCTCCCCCGCAGCGGAGGGATCGCAAAGGAGCATCTCCATGCTCACTAGGACTGTCCGGTTCCAGGCAGTGGTGGGACATCTAACAACGAAACAGCCAGAGCCCTCAGTTTCTCGGCAAGTCACTGGGCCAAGGTCAAAAACACTCCCCACACAAACTGACTCCTGCTTCACTATCTGCTTGCCGCTGAGGGAGTGGTCGGCTGTAAGTTTCACTTCGCTCACTGTAGCCTCCAGATGATGATGATGGTAAGGCGTTTGAGGACATCTCCAATGGGACGAGAAGGAAGCCCCTGTCCCAGTCCAGGAGGGGAGAGGACGGAGCCCTGGTCACTTACTCGGTGGCTGGTTCTCAGCTGTAGGAGGGTTCAAAACTCTCATCGGCACTTTTCTTCTCTTTGGGAGACCATGTCTGCTACTCCCTTGCCTTATTCCACTGTTCATATGCATTTCTCTAACTTCACAGAAGCCCTGCTGGGCGGAAAGCCCACAGCGCAGGTGATGTAGATATGTACATGTATGGTGGAGGTTGTGCACCGATACCAGCCCTTAAGTTGGTGGGTGACTAACATTGTGGTGTGCCTTTTATAGCTAAAACAGCATCTAGCAGGGAGAGTGAAGCCAGGCTCCCAGCAGGGCCAACCTGGGTGCTGTGATAAGACTTGCTACATTGCTTGGGCGGTAACGCAAAGACTTTGAACAGTTACACTGTCAACGCCCAGCACGACGACAAGTGTATATCAGCCCATAACTTATTAGAAGGAGTGCTCAGCCTTCTGATATCAATCTGCTGAGTCAGAAAACAGGTGCAATAAACCTGCTTCTCGTTACCCTCAGGCTTGCTTTCCTCACCCCACATGACAGAGTCCTGAGACAAGATCCTAAATTTCTAGGAGGTAGATCAGCAGTCACAACCACTGCCTGCTGTAGTGGACAGAGGGGAGGTCCCCAAGTTCGTAAGTGGCAGCCAGGGACTGAAGGATAAATCTCATCTGGGGATTATAAACTGGGAGAGGCTCTGATGCAAGGATTCCAGAAGGCGGCTCAGACCAGGCCACCATAGACCCACCTCCAGCCCCAGTCGAACCACCACAGACACTGTCAGAGAATTTTTTAGTATAAAGGTGACTCAAATGATGCATACGATAACAGCTACTAAAAGTTACCATTACCTAAGGGAATACTTGCAATTTATCTGTTGATTATCTGAAATTAACTGGTTGACCTCCATTGCCGCTGGAAATTTTACAAGACCTGATCGTTATCAGTACAAGGAGGTGAAAAATTGGACTTTGCCTTCATGGGGCCGTCTGCCATATGGACCGACATATTCATGAAACAACACACATAAGGTTGGAACACCCTAAACTCAATGAATTACCGCCTCCACTTACTTCCGATAGCTTTGCTTTTGTTCACCTTCATTGATGACAGTTGCCCCCGGGGAAATTATTAACAGTTTCCCATTTTACACTCCCAGCCCTCCAGGTTGAGTGATAACTTGTATGTTCATCACAGATGCAGAGACCAAAGGTCCAGGACACACTTATTCCTGCAGCTGGAAATGTGTCCTGATCACAGCCACCACGGCAGCTGCCCATACATCACGTGTGTCCCTCTTAGTACCGATTCGGCTGAGTCCCATAATTTCCAGAAGGCTGAGTCCTTGTTCTCACCTGTCCCAGGCACATTATTTAATTCTTCTGTGATGCCTTCAGTACCCAGCAGTCTTTCGGTAGTGTGCTATTGAGATGTCCTGTGGTAAAATAATTCCCATGGTAGGTGATTTCTAGTGTGATGCTTTTATGATCACAGAAGATACTGGGTATGGTTTCAATACTAGAAATTTGTTGCTTTTTGTTTATGACCCCACAGTTTTGTGTTTGGAGAATGTCCAATGTTCACTTGAGAAAAATGTGCATTGTTCTTTGGAGGTACAGTGCCCTATAAAAGACTCTCAGGACAGGCAGTCTAATTCCTTAAAGTTGTTCAGTTGATCTGTCCATTGGTGGAAGTGGGGTGCTGACGTTCTCCGCCACATACAAGTTTTTCCAGCACTGGTTTTCAGAGCTGATAGTAGTAGCTAACGTGTTTCGCCGCTATTTCATTTCTTCAGTGCCCGTGGATGATGTCATGTCCCTTCCTTACAGCGAGGAAACCTACTGTTCCCTTAGAAAGTGTGCCATGGCCAGTCCTTCTCCTGTTACTGTCGTCCGGGAAAGTGGCTTTTTCTGGTGTATGTTGTCCTGGCCTTCCTCTGGGGTCTTTGTGCTTGCAGATTACTGTCCAGCCATTTACTCTGACCCTACTGGTTCTTTGGAGTTCAGGTGTGTATCCTGGAGGCCGCTCCTGATCCAACCACACACTTGTGTCTTTTACTGGTCAGTTCAGTCCATTCAAACTACAGTGACTCCTGATAAATGAAAGCCTGTTTCTGCTGGGGAGCTCAGGGCAGGGTTCAGGCCCTCAGGGAGGGTGCTGATTACTGACGGGGCACTAAGTGGGAATAGTCCACGGATGTGGGAGACCAGCTCCAACTATCGAGGTGTTTGAGGCAAGACAGGCAGGGCCCTAAGGTGGGAAGGCCTCAGCAAGTGGAGATTTCAAAAGGGGAGAGAGGAGCGGGCACGAGGAAGACACGGGAGTCAGGGTTGGGTGCAGGTCTCCTGCCATTCCCTCAGCAGGTCTTTATCTACACGGTGTAGCAAGTAGCCGATTGCAATAATGCACAGGGCAAGCCAAAGAGAGATCGCCATAACACGTGCTCAAGGACAAGGGGAACAAAGCATTCCTCTCTTAGCGTATTATGGTACACTAGCTATTACGTTCTTGTAATGATTGTCATGTGACAGCTGTCCAGCTATCACTCAAAGGAAGAGGGGTCTGGGAAGGGATGAGCTCATTAGCAAAAGGTTATTAGGGGTCTTGGGGTAGTAATAAATTGCGGTAGCAGTGTTATCAGTGACTGTCCAAAGAAAAGCTAATGGCTAACCCAAGGCCAGCAGAGAGCAGCCAGTGCTTTTTACTGTTCAAGAGAAAGTTGAACAGTTGTGTGCCAAACAACATCTGTGTAATCAAGGCCAAAATTTGTCCATGAGTCCTTATGCCCTGGGAGTCTTATCTGAGGTTTGCCTTTTTATTCAAAGAAACCAAGGAAGCTTCCCAAGAGTTTTTATGCCCTGGGGACTCATCTCTCTGGGGCTTGCCTTTTGCCTCAGGAGACAGAGGGATTTCTCACCCTGGGGCTTTATGAGGCTAAGACAATCCTGTTGTAAACTGAAGGTTGCTCAGAATATTTTGATATTATGACTATGACAAAAAAGGGAGGTCATAACATAAGTTAGCAGTGGAAATTCTGATTTTTCAGAGCTTTTCCCGATCTACCCGGAATCTGTCAGTCGATAGACGTTGCATAGCTTGTGTCACACGGACATCATTTAACTCACAGTCTCGCTCAGACCTGACCCCCACACGCCCTCCATCAGCACCCTGCTCCTAAGCACACAGCTCCACCGCCTCAGGGCTGCCGAGGAGGATGTTTCGGTAACCGTACTGGGGCCTGGGTGTTTCAGATGTGCCAAGGGAGCCCTCAGTCACCTGGACGGACACTCCTCTCCTAGGGAACTCTCTAGACCGTACCAATAGAGCCTCATCTCTTGAGGCTTGATGTGGTGCCTGGAGACAACCTGCCGGTAGCCACACACGGAAAAGGGTGGGCCGTCACGACTGAAGGACTGCCTTGTGTGAAGCTGCCGGGGGCGGATGTCCAGCTTTTGGAGGCAGAGTCCCACGTAGACATCCTCCAGCCTAATGAACGGGACACTGCCGGAAACATTATACACCAGGCTGGCCACGTCGCTAGAGAAGACATAGCCGGTGCCGTCACAGTAGGCTGGATACGTGTCCAGCGGGTAATCCTCTCGGCTGACGAACCATTTATGGGGCCTTGCCCTCACAGGCAGGGCATTCTCATAGAGGAGGCCAGCGAAGAAGCGCGAGGTCTGGTTCTTCTTCAGGAGCAGCTCCACCAGGTAGTAGACGTTGATGAACATGTCAGAGTCTGTCTTCATGGCGAAAGCGGCCTGGGGACAGTAGCGGTGGACCCACTCCATGCCCATCATGGTCTTCAGGGTCAAGTTGTCATAAGTGTCCAGGAAGTCCTTCTGCACGGTGTCGCGATGCTGCTGGCCTTCCCGGGCCACCGCC